ATATATATATATATATATATATATATATATATATATATATATATATATATATATATATATATATATATATATATATATATATAGTACAAAATAGGTTTCTGGTGCAACATGTAGTCCCGATCGCAAGTATATCTCTCTGACAAATTCGTCAACACTGATTCCAATCAATGATATCATTCCGTATGGACAACGTGGGGGCACGCCAATAATAAACTACACTGTAGAACGAGCAACCGAGAGAATCGATTCTAACAACTCACCACTTTCCAGGACTAGCACACTATACAGCCATGATCACACATACATACCACTGATAGGTCCTTGAACACCTCTTTCAGTCTTCCATACCACTCCGTATTGGTAATATTAGAAAAATCCATGACGAGACTATAACTCAGATAGTGAATGCCTATGATTCAAGGCGATCAAAGGAAAAATACTTGGGCAATGTAAATAGGTTTAGATTGTTTTCTGGTATGTAAGACTTAGCGATCAGGAGTTTGACGCAGATACAGTGGTGTATTTACTTAGAATGATGAATACAACAGGTGTAGACACTTGGAGTGTGGACTGGACAGTGGACACATCAGCCTTTCATATATGAACACTGCTTTATCTTTTTATTTTAAATAGATACCACAGCAGTTGATATAATGATATCGCGGTCACTATAGAAGTATATTCTCTATTACGAATGTAAATATTTATTCACACTCAAAATATTTATTGGACACGCAAGTGTCATGTGAAGTTGTAAACCCGCCAAAAGCTTCGACACGATGACAGCATGTTATACAAAACAATAAAATCTGTAAGGATGTCCATATTCCATAGTAGCCGTCTGTGTTTGATTCTTGGATAAGTTGGATTTCAGAAGGCTATGACATATTTTACTTTTTTATACAAAATACTTCCGAGTTAAAAATGTGTCTATGGCTCTACGCATTATAAAGGTCTGCGTTGTGAGGCTGGATGTGACTCGACTGTATTAGCCCCGTATGTCGAGCGGTGTATGTGTGCAGTACGTGAGACTGCAAGTAGCTTTAGAATGCCTACACGGTGACATCTGAAAGTAGAGTGCACTATTTCTACAGCAGCTCTCCTACCAAAAGGCGCTATCGTGACAGATTAACCACCTATAGACAACTGGACTGGGATTACATTGGATTATAGATACATACAACATGGCGAATTCTTGTTCGCGTCCATTTGTACAGAAGTGCTTCATTCCGTCCATATCGCGATATCAGGTGAGATTGAGAAGCGATCGACCCGGCGAAATCGGATGTAAGTCTGTACAGAGGTTGACGCGAGAGTTCAGGACTCTACATCGTGACCCAACAGGAAGACGCCCGCGGAATGTCACTGCACAATGTATGCAATACAAGAAAAGTAGTACAAATAGTATTATCACAGTATGGAATAAGCCAATGTCACGCTTGCAAGTACGACCCTATTACTTATCGTCCAATGACTATACGACGTCGGGGTTGCTGAGAGGCCGCATGCATAACACAGTCTCTATATCAAGCTGGCATCTATCACCATGTAGAGCACACTTCAGCACAGCCACACATCGATTGCAGTCACAGGTGTCGTCTGGAGATGGGAATGTAGGTAAGTTGTCAGTTGAAAGTGGGACACCTGTAACAAAATTAATAGAGGGACATCAGACAAGGGATACGTCAACGTTTAGGAAGTCCTATAAGTACGGTAAGGGTAAAGCGAGCGATGAAGTCAGCTGCAAGCCTAAACTGCGATTCAAGCTACCAGCGCATCAGAGATCGAAGACACCCAGGACACCGTGGGGGTTTATTGCCGATGTTCACTTCCAGGTATATCTAGTATGGCTAGGGTGAATATCATACCCTGGGGTTTGTTTATTGCTGCGCCTGGGGTGAGATGTTCATTGCAGATTGTAAGAAGTGCACTTGGTGGTTATAAGGCTTCATAAACCATAAGAGGAATTTCACACTCTGATGTTTGAATATAGGTTTTTCCTCCTGATCAAAAATTTCAGTGCCAGTGGTTCACAATAAGGTATTAGATGCACTGAAGTAGTTTCCTCGTTTTCTATCGGCCATTCTTTGATTCATTTTATCCGAATGCTAGTTGTGTTCTAAGTACAATTTCGGGGTACTGATCATGTTAATTGATCATGTGGACTTCAGATCGTATAGTTACAAGCCGAAAGTCGACAGTGTGCTTAACGCACACTCGTCGCACCCCTGACAACGATCCTGCAGCATTGATTCTATCGGCATTAGATGGAATGCTTTGCATGATGGAGGGTTTGTGGTGATACACAGAGTTTTCGTCTTATGAATGAGTCTTGGCTCTGCGACGTATACACCTCGGTTTTATTTTTAGTTCAAAATGGTTCAGCAAAACCAATTGATCCTTACTGCTATTAGAATACATATTGTGCTGTCGATGCTTTTAGATCGATGACAATGACTGCTCACCAGGCAGCCTATCGCGATCCTCTGTAAGAATCAAACCCGACCTAATGACTGTGCAATTTGTTCCTCGGAATACATCGATTCCACACGTATACATATCTTTATTCATTTTCATTCGGCGATATATACTAGGCTGCGTAGACATGCTTTTGTTCACATTAATTGCCCGATTATAATCATCAAAATACAATGCCCGAAGAATGATGATCGCTCATGTCATGTACCGCCGTTTTAATCCTTCAGGACAAGGGATTGGATCGCATAAATCTAGGATTGGATTATCTCATAGCTGAATTCCGCAAAAGGGGTGTGCGACATATTTTCTGCCTTGGCGATATGCTCAATACCCGTCAACAAGTATGTTTTGCTCCACTTGCTTCACCAGGAGCCGAAAGCTTATTTTTCCAACCTGAATTGTCAAAAATAGGTCACACAATTCTAAAATTAGTGCGAGTTACTAGTCACACCCGTTTACATGAGCACTACACCTCTGGTGTCTTGCTGATGCATGTTTGTGATATGCTTGTATTTTCAATAGGTCAGTGTACCAGCACTATCGTCGTGCATGATGTTCTTCAACCGACTGATGGACGAATTCGACAGCGTGCACGTGGTACTGGGCAACCATGACATGCATCTGAAACATAGTCGCACTGTGACGAGGTATGATAAATTGAGATATGCCACTTTGTAGCTGTTTGTGACTATACATGTCTGTGCTTTTGCGAGGACATGGACCTTATAAAACGTGGTCCGTTGTGCATTTTGAGCTAGATCGCGTCTTTTGGAATAGTTGAGCGCTGCAATGATCCATGTAGCAACTAATCAATACTTGTTACACTTCTGTACTCATGCAGCTTGGATGCGCTTCTCATGAACAAGCTGCAACCCAATGTACGGTTGTACAAGGAGATAGAACTGACCGAAGTGGATGGCATTCAAGTGCTGATGTTACCCTTTCATGAGGATCAGAACGAAATTCTGCGATATTTGAAGAAGATGCCGAAGGTAATGCAAACGAGATTGGCAATTGGTAGCTGGGCATATTTAGGTCTTGCAAAGTTCCTCTGCTTCGCACTCGGAAGGTTCACAGCTGACTCTACCTCGACACGACATTCTCCGATACAGGAAGTCCAAAATGACACTGTTGCCATGGCACACCTGTCGATCAATGGTGCGACCACCAACAAGCACATGCACATTAAACACCACGGACAAGTGGGCCACAAAAGTTTTCAGGACTTGAGGCATACATTCACAGGTGAGTGTGCGCGCAGAGACAAGCAGAACTGTACGCGTTTGCGCTAGGCATGTATGCGTATTTGAAGCGGATGCATGCATGAAACCCACCTGTAAGCTTGTGCGCGTGTGTGAGATTTATATCTACGACTGGGTGTGCGCGAGCGTCCGAATTTTGTGTACGTCAAAAAGTTATGTCTTTTAAACTTGTAACCCTGCCCCATTTGAGATATATACTATGGGCTCAGCGAATTGTTCCACAAAATCTTAAACTTTAGAGTTGCTATTCAATATGTCTGAGTTTGCGGCAAATGTGTAGATACAGCCATAGGCCAGATGCGTGTGATATATTTAATACGCCAAAATCAACAAAATGGTTGAGACTGGTTGTTGGTGACGCACCAAGTGGCATTGTTGGGACTTCTCATACCTCTACGGGCCTACAACATCCGGAAGTTGACAACGTACGAACAAACTCGCGCACAGAGAAAATATCGATGGACTAATCCACAACATGCGTCGCAATTGACACCAACTACTTCAGATACCGACACGATACCAACGTATACATCAAACCTCATATCCACCCCGCGACTTATCTCAGGTCATTTTCACAGTTTCCAAACCCTCGGGAATCTGACCTATATTGGGAGTCCCTTGCAGTTCACCTTCAGCGATCTGAACGATCCGAATCGAGGTGGCGTGCTGTACTATCCCGATTCAAACTCATTCACCCAGGTCATCAACCCTCATGCCGAGGTTTTCAAGGAAACCACTTTCGAGAAAGTCATGGCTTCAACCGGCGAGGAGGTACGGTCCCCTTCAAGTTTTGCACTTTATTAATTTCCATCGCTTATGTAGTAGACACAGGCTGCTGTTGCTAGATGTGGCTACTTTATTGTTAGTGTGCAATCTGCATGGCGATCTTGGCGGCTCAGCACATGCGTTGAGCAACTGATGTCGTGAGTAGTGACTCTCTACAAGAGACTTATATATGCAGTGTTGTCGAATTCCTCTCGGAACGGTCTTGAAGTTGTGATTTGTCATGCGGGTTATGCTTTACGTGCACTTTTTCTCTTGCATTTTTTTGGCGCGGATTCGTTTAGAATGTTGATTGAAGTTTTCTACCTTTCAACGAACAGGGCTTGCAGAAATTGAAAGCAGAGTTCGCCTACAAATACGTCCAGGTATTGTTTGCATTATATTGGTATGCAATTACACTTGAGATCTGATAACATTGCTTCTATCGTGATATGCAGTGCAATCGAGACGTGTTTGACTTTTTGAAGCCCACGCTTATGCATCTTCGTGCTATTAACTGAATTGTGTCTATGCTGCTTGAATAGTGGATTGTACGTTTTATTTCTTTACCTGTTCATACTTTTTAACAGTGGGCTTGTCTACTCTCTCCTATGTATGAATCGGCGATAGTGGCTCTGCAAAGTAAATAAATGAACCATATGAAGTGCCTTGCCATTGGGGTTCATTTTCTCTATATTCTGTCCTGTATGGCGCGATACAGACAATTACACACTTGGGTATTGCATCACAGGAAGCAATTGTGCTCAAATTACTTAAGGTTTTTGTGTCACCTTGTCTCCACCCAGGTCACTAGTGGCGATGGCCTGGAAAAAGTGGACAACCGCGCTTTTCCGAAAGTGCGCGATCGCTTGATTGCCGCGGGTGCCCTGGATGTCAAATTATGGAAGAAAAAGGTATGAATCATGCAATCAGGATAACAACCCTTTTGAGAGTAGTCTGACAATAGCCAGTATTAGCGCTTTGCTCTAAGTATTACACATTTGATACAGTATCTGTGGCAATTTGCTGCTGAAGGAATGTTCAATAAGTTTTCACGTGGCGGTATGTGTGTTATGTGTATGATTGACTAGCTTGGTGGGACATAGGCATTTCTCTCATGCAATATATCGGTCGACTGGCAGCTTGCATTCGATCATCCGACAACGGTGCACAGATATCTATAAACACTTCCATATGCCCATATCATTCATCTGTCAATGACTACTGAAACAGCCCAAGGCCGGAGAAAGCGGATCGTTGAGTGCTGTGCTGGATAATGGTGCTGCTGCCTTTATTGAGCGCACCAAGTCAAACAACAACCGGTCGTATATGCTCGAGACCATTCGCTCATACCTGGACAAAATGATCCTCGGAGATGGTATGTCTATTCTGCGAGCATTTGTGCAATGTGCAGTGTGGTAGAAGTTGATGGACATGTATGCGTGCCCGTATGATTGTATGCCCGCATTATGTCTACTTGGTGGACAGAATAAGGACATCAAGAACTGACTGGACTTAGCGAATGTATACATACACGTCTTTAAACATCATCAGATTGCATCACGTTACATGCACATTGCGGTTGTTCGTGTACTTTGTAGGCTATTTGCGAATGCGGCAATGGCAATGTGTTCTTTTAGGATTTCTCTGGTAGTCTGATAACTTATTTTGTCGCAAACTTATATCACTCAACCCAATCACTATCTGTGTCCCTTGGATGTAGGCAAGTCATCGCTACCGAACTTCCCCAGGGGCACCAGTGCCTCAATCGTCGACCGTCACAAAGAACTCGCTAAGGAGGGCCAGAATATCATCGACACTGTCGCGGGACATAACGATATTGTGGATGGACAAGTCTTCAACGCCAACATCAAGTGCCTGAGAATGGAGAATTTCCTGGGCGTGCAGGTCAGTTGAATTCTGAGCGGATAAATGAGGCTAGCCATGTGCGCGCGTTGTATTGTTGATACAAAGTGAGCAAACCAGAAAATCTGTTCTACTTTCTGCTTGTTCCTGGCTATCGCTTGGTACACGGTCTGAAATGTGCGAGTGTGTTGATTTTGCGAGCAGATTGTTCTTGAACTTTAACTCATTTACCCGTCATTTAGAACTTACATTGGTTATTCATTGTGCTATTTTTCCCTAAGTCCATATTTTTGGTTTCAATGTGCATACACGTGCTTTTTTTTCTTACCTTATACTCGTTCTGCTTTCAGGGGGGCATCTACATTCCCTTCCAAGATATCGAGGAGAAGGTGTGGCTACTTGAAGGTGAGAATGGATGTGGGAAATCCACCGTCGTCGAGGCTGTGACGTGGTGTCAGTTCGGCAAGTTTGTTCGTTCGGATATGGCGGCGGGTGATGCGGTTAATGATATCCTGGACCAGTAAGTATGAATTGATACACAAACAAAACGACTCCCATGCTTTGGAGGGTTTGTATTGGCTAGTCTTTTGAGCGACCTCGATTTCCTTATTAGTCATATATGAGATCTGACAAGTTAGCTCGTCTTGGTCGTACAACATATCTGATGTAGCAGTCGTATACGAAGGTTCAAGGCGTTATTGGACTTACATCACATATAGTTGCCCCGCCCATTAGTTGGGCAATGTTTAATTGGGTAGGTCTACCTGTGCGCGACAAGCGATCATGGTGTGCCGAAAGCAAGTCGTACCAGTCGAGATGCAGGCTTTCTATTACAACGCCCAAGTCTGCGTTACATCATCTATGAATTTGAGTGGGTTCGTTGAATGCACACATGTATACATATGTCAAACGAAGTGAAACACCGATTAAACTACATCACTGTATATGCTTACCAACTGTACCTCGAATGGTTGCCAACTCATCTAACTCAAGTGCATTTTCATCACATCATTTTTTTGTTCTGACCAACACATGAATTTGAAATTTCTGAAACCTCACTACAGCGGCTGCCGCGTGGTGGTCGAGTACAGCAATGGGTATTCGATTGAGAGATATCGTAAGCACAAGACGCTGGGTTCTAACGGTGCACGCGTCTACTTACACGGTCAGTACCTTCCCCAGTTTGAAAAGGGTGGTATGCAAGCCACACAACAGGCAATCGACGATCTCCTCGGGGTTGATTATAATCGGTATGTGGGGACGAGATGTAGGTGTATGAGGCCTTGTGTGTATGGGATCACCAATGCTTTCTGAGCGTCATCACACATTGCCTCGTATTCAGTCGATTGTATACAAGATATCACCACTGAAGCGCCATCCTGAAGCTGAAAACTGGTAGAAAGTGTTATTGTCGTTCTTTCTTTTTGTTTATCCATAGTGTGGTGTGGGGAACAGTGTTATTACCATCTTTTCTTTTCTTTTTGCTGAATACAATTGATGATAACTGTGAACCTACAGCAGTACATGCTCACTTACTTTTTGTAAAGCTTTAATCATTGACCATTCTCAATCCGAAACTTATACTCAGCCATGTCGATTGCCGCGTTTGTAGGCCCTTGTTGTAAAGTCTGCGTAAATGCTTTAAACAACTGGGTAAAGTTTGCTAAGCTCATGTCACCAGTATATTCTCCGCATGCAGCTTCCTGAAGACATCCATCTATGTGGGCAATCAGGCAGCTAGTTTCGTCTCAAGTAGTTCACTGCAACGCAGGGATATTCTAGAAGAAGTCCTGGGTAGGTAAACCCCACTTTGTGTCACGTAGTATTTACTGGACGCTCATTTGTTGTTCATCTGATAGTCTGGTGGTCACTTGTACATCCATCCAGTAGTACGTATAAGTTCGCCTAGAACTATTAGAGAGACAATCTAGTACTACTATCGTATCATATAACGCTATTCGGCTATAGTGTACCCAGATGCAGGTTCAGTATAGCGTGTCCGTTACCATACTAGCCTCTCCGCTTCGTTCTCTCCATCATTCTAGACTATACTTTCATACAAATTCGCACTCCATGGGATTGCGTCTTTATACTGTAGTCTGCTCGAGTCTTTGGGTTGATTGGCTTCCTGTCATTATGTACCTCGGTCAACGTACATTCGGACGTTTATTTCTATAGGATTGGGCCTGTTTGATAAGTACCTGGATGTGGTGCGCGGTCGCAAAAAAGATGCCAGAGTTGAATTGCTCAATACCTCCGCTATGATTGTGGGGTTGAAAGAACAAGAGACTGCGGCAACGGTAATTTATTAATTCTACTAAGATTATTTTGTTTATTATGCGTTGAGGCTATGTTGTTGTGCACATATCTTCACGTAGCCATAGCATTGGAAACAGCTTGTAAAAAAATCATAAACATCTGATATGAGATTTGACTAAAGGTTGCAATTGTATGAAGCTATGCTCGCCTGCCTTGCGAGAAGCCCATTAAGGTAAAATGGAATGCGAAGCAATAAATGCATATGTACCATCGCCCAATCCAGTTGCTCCTACGCACATTCTTTTATGCGACCGTTTACGCTTTCGGACATATCATTAGTTGTACATGTCATGATACATCCGCGACTAATATTGTGTATGTGTACTAACGTTCATTTCACAGGCTCGTACTGCGAAAATTCAAACTGAGCGCGAAAACTCAGAAGCGCTTGCGAACGATTTGAGCGGCAAGAAGATCACGGTGGAAAACTCTGTGCGATCTCTGACGGCCAAAGCAGCATCTCTTGCGGGAACGGTACGGGGTGATCATACTGTGGGTGACATATATGTGGGTGGTGGCTCATGTGGAAGATGTGTTGTTATGTTTTATGTCCATGATCGGGTCGGTTGATAGACTGGCGGCGTGTTGAGGATGTATGAGGTGTTATCAAGTTACAAGTACGTTTTGCTGTGGTACCTTCTGCAAATTAAAATATATATATATATATAATGTGTGGATTTATGCCAATTTGTGTACATCATATCTAGTGGTGGTGTGCTGTGTACTCGTGATTCTGGCTAACATGAGAGACGATGTTGTCTTATACGTTTTTTACGCTCAGTTTTCGCCGGAGATGCACAATGTTAGTGTAGTAGTGGGGTGCAGTTTATTTGTAACGTTGTACTCGAGCTACTACGACCCGCGTGCAGAAGCCCAGAGATCTAGTAACGCTCGAATGTCCAAGTGCGCAAGTGTCACTGTTTAACGTCACCATATCTACTTGATACATATGCGCAACGGCATGATCTGACAAACCATATGTGTCGACATCGTGTCTAACTTGACCCTACAGAAAGAACGCTTTACCGAGATCATCAGCCGGCGGAAAGAGCGGCGGCGATTGCAACTGATAGTTAAGTCGCAGCGGGAGCATTACAATGCCTTGAAGGAGCACATCGATGATGTGGCCTCCTACCGCTACCAAGTACAAGGCCAGAACCATGCATTCGTGAAGCTAGCGCAATCGCCTGCCAAGCAGCGAGTAGCGAGCAAGAAGCAAACTGGTGGTGCCAGGTACGCTCGATGTGGATAGTATGCGGATAAGTAAGCCTAGGATATCTCAGCTGCGCGTGTGTGTGTGTGGATGTGTGCGTGCAGGCAGGTGCTTTTTTGTGACGCCAAATTGTGCTTAACTGCTCTCCGCGCAAGGTAGGTTGCAAGTTGTCGGAATAAATTTGGCAGCTTGGGTGCGAGTGCGCAATACAATCGTTTTGGTAACCGCCTGGTACTACTAACACCATCATCTACCGACATAGCGATTTTTATAGTAGTTTAGCGCGACATGACTGTAGTCTCTTTCTTTTGTGAGTTGTATCTGGTAAGCCGCGCACCATGGTCACACGCTGAGTAACATTGATGCACGCCATGTGGAGGCGCCGTGCCCCTTCAATATTTCGAGATGCCGAGGATACAGTCTGCGTTGTTAAAACAGGCAGTAGCAGCCGCACACAACGATGTTAAGATATCTTTGCGTATCGTGAGACCCGTTCCTCCACTGGAACAGCACGAGTCTGGGTTCCTGAATAATCACCTAGTGATCTTTACCACGCAATCCTTCGCAGAAAACTTTGGCTCACGCCTTTTGATTATCGTCCTCAAAGTCTTGTAGTCACTGGTATGTACTCTTTTCTTATAATATCCACTCATATCCTCTCAACCACTCACATGCATTCGCTTGCACATATTCTTTTCTTCTAGTTCAAAAGCCAGCTGTACGGGATCCAACTGCTCCTGTGGAACGCAGCACACGTCTTTGGACGTATGTCCCGTGTGTGACCGGCCTTTACCCGAAGGCGTAACGCACAGTCATGATGACCCCGTCCATCAGAAAGTTGTGGCTGTCAGGGGTATGCTAGCCAAGGGCATGAACGACGCTAGCAGTGCTGTGGATAACCAGCTGGGTGTGCAGCACGACAAGCGTACCAGAGAGCTACACGAACGCGCTCAGATGGCAAAGGGCGCGCTACTAGAGGCGGAGAAGACGTTGGTGCAGTTTGAGGCCACACACGCCAGCAAAATCGAATCCGACGAGCTAAGCGCGTTCAACGTCCAGAGGAGATCGAGTAGGGCGGCAAAATCGGGCGGTAACGTGGGTACGGGTAGTGAGGGAGAGAGAAAGGATGAGGTGGCTGACGCCGGCGAACTTGCCACGACTACGTTGGAGAACCAGATCAACTTCGTTGATCAAAGGCTTACGGAATCAACAACTAAATTGCACAAGATCGATAAGATCATATACGAGGCGGCTGGCAAGTGCACGTTACTGGCGAACTTAGAAAAGGGTGTGTAGCTGATGTGGGCTGTTTATATACAATACACATGTTCATATGCTTTGTTCGATAGGCTTTGTTAGACGCGTTTGATTCGGCAAGCTCCCATGGTCTGAGCAGCGGATAAGAATGCTGCCTGCTATGTTTTATTTTGAGTGATATTTTGTAGATGAATACTTCCGATACTCATCTGCCATAACTCCTACAAGGTCCGTAGTTCTCGCATATGTGGTCAGGCGACCTTTTTGTCCCCACAGTAGATATCGTATCGCCCAATCTAACCGCCAAAATCCGTTGGCACATAACGTACTTTTTTTTTTATCAGATGAAATGGCACGGAATAAAGTGCTGGCTACACGTCTCGGCGGATTGCGTGAGCAAGAAGCAATACTAAAGCATACTGCGTCCATCGACAAGTTCTGGGAGGACGGGTTCTCCAAGAAGAGTGGCTCGATGAGGGTGTGTTTCTATTAGTTTAATCTATTTACGCTTGGAGATGTGCTTGTCGTCCTTGTTACCATGCGAGTGTGTCCGTTACTATTCTACAGGAAATTACGTATTGCTGTCAGCTGCATTTTCTGTTGGTGTAAGCCCGTAAGTGAATAGGTTTATGCGCGATACGATACTGTGGAAACCTCATGGGAGGTTGCTCAATATACTTATGTCCTATATATTCGTGTGAGCGGAATGTGGTCAATAGATAGTACTCCACGACCACTATGGTTATATTTAGATATGCCATAAGATTGATTATTGCAACACTTTGGGTTGGTACATCTCTATTGCTGGATATTCATGAACCTGTCAACAGTTTTTACATGCAGGCTAGTTTTCTTTAGCCTGTTTAATAGTCAGCTGACAATATATCGTAGTGATACCTTTTAGTTGAAAGTGTATTATCGTTCACACGTGCCAAGTCTTGGCAGAAGTGACTCAACTATAAAAGCCGGGTATAACTTATAGTCAACTGTTGACACCCGCTACAGTGAAGCATTTTGATTTACGCCTGAACCTCTTGGTGGGTATGTGAAGAATTTTGATCGCCTGGTCCATAGCCATCGTCTCAGGCATTGTCGTACATCATACTTCCAATGCTTGTTACGCGTTAGTGGCCACCATGGACACGAGGGAAATGACCCACCCTATACTTCAGCAGTATATAGTAAATGTCAAAGACACCAAGCAAAACCTTGCCGTAACCTATCAATCGCTGTATTGACCGATCTGATCATTCTGTTGGTCAGGTAGTATCAAAAAACACCAGCACGGGTCAATATTCAAAAGAAGAAAAACTTGTTGTGTATCTAGGCAGTGGATTGCGGTATCCGCTTATATTACCGTGTTCTCTGTGTTACCCAAATACATCAATCCACTGTTCTGGCTTTATCGCTGATGTTGTCGCTCGTATCTTCTGCAGAATTATCTCCTTGATCAGTCCATCCATGAGCTCAACCGGATCCTTGAGAGCGTCTTGGATCTTGTCCGTGGTCCTCATGACATTTCAATATCCTTCAACTCTGATTTGAAACTCAGCAAAGAATACAGTACGTTTCTTTATTGTTTGACAGAGAATACAGTACGTTACTTGGTTATATGATTCTTCCATATATGTTGACAGTAGACTTCCGCTATTTCGGCTGTACATATTCTGCTACAAACTGAGTGCGGGTTATACTCGTTGGGAAGGCTTATTTTTATGACTTCACGTTGGCACCGTTCCACAGTTAGTAAAGTCGGTGTCCAGTAAAGGTAACAAATGTACTAAGTTTAGTTGATTTGATTCGATCTCAATACACTTGTTTTTGCCTCGTTTCGGTGACATGATTGTTGTGCGAACTGTATCAATTCTGGAAACGTGGTAACTGGATTCTTAATAATGTGTGGACTGTGAATAGGATCGTACACGCATATTGTTCTCATCTTCTGATTCTCCCGTAATATTCACAGGCAAGCGGTCCTCGGGGCAACGCAAGCGCACGGATTTGGCAATCTTCATGGCACTCAGTCAGATCAGTCGGAATCACAGCCGCTTCCAACCTGGTAAGTAGCTTATTGCACGCTCGCTCATTGAAGTTTTAACGGGTTGCAATCGAGAATGCTTCACCTTGACTCCTACCGCCGGAATAGCTGCCAAACCGATTTGCCTGTATCCGTACATACTCGCAGCTATGTGGCGTATGAGAACACGTCTGGAGTGCTCTGTTGATGCATACTCGAGGCACACTCTTGCAGACGCACCAGTGAAGAACCCGCTCAGAAGATTTAATTTATCTCTGTTTCCTTGTCCTGCCCCCTACACTTGTCCACAAGCTGTATGGTACTGAATGTGTTGTACGAACCACCTGTATCAAGATACAATTAGGGTATTTATTGTCACTTTCCTTTTGTGTTTATCCGACACCTTGGTACAGGCTTCATGGTACTGGATGAGCTGTACGACTCACTAGACTCGGAAGGCCGAGAAGCGGTAACTGACCTAGTCAAGGGATTCTCGGCGAGAGTGCGGAATGTCATCGTTGCATCGCCTGAGCTTCATGCAGGATTAGAGGTAAGTCATCAGGATACTGTGATCATCTACTTTGGGAAGGAGCGATGGATATAGTTATAAGGTCAGGAATCCATCCGTTGTCGGTAGGATACTATGATCATCTACTTTGGGAAGGAGCGATGAATATAGTTAAGAGGTCAGGAATCCATCCGTTGTCGGTAGGATACTATGATCATCTACTTTGGGAAGGAGCGATGGATATAGTTATAAGGTCAGGAATCCATCCGTTGTCGGTAGGATACTATGATCATCTACTTTGGGAAGGAGTGATGGATATAGTTATGAGTTCAGGAATCCATCCGTTGTCGGTTGCGCCCAGTACGTTGTTGTGGCTGGTATTTATATTCACATAGCGTAGAGACAGTTCTAGTTATAGTTTCGAGGTCTTGCGTACATTCTTTGCTTTTATGAAGAAGAATGGTAACCTGGCTTTATATAGTTGCACAGCTCTTCTTGTTAGCATTCAAGCTCATACACCAGTGGCCACCTTGACTAACTAATTCCGATATATTGTTGGTTTATGTATCCAATCTCCATACTCGGAAGTTGAGGACGATTGCATATGCGCTTGGTATTCGGCGATTGCAAACGCATCTGTCCTCGTGATGAGTTTTTCTCACTCGCATTTTCTCTTTACCAATGTACAGTTCCCATATGTGGTGTCCGTATCCATGACCGCACAAGGTTCCCGGCTGATAGATTCGCGAGGGCTGATCGAGTGTTACAGTGACGACAGGAGGGAAGAACTGAATGACAACATCGGACCAGTCGCAGGTGCAGTTTAAAACGTATATAGGGTTATGTAAGGTAAATAAATGAATCATTAATTATATATTTATGCAACACGCGTAATAGAAATATACCTCTTGGTGTCTAGCATTTAGGACCTCACAAATTATGATTTCTATTTGCCCCGGATATTTAGTAGGTTGAAGCATAACCTTTTGAAACAGAACAGTTAGATTTCATAGGTATGATATCAAATAATTTTGACAGTTGTTCTATACAACTCTCCAACTAGTGCGCCCTATCATGCACGGTCTATTCGTTTGTTGACTAAATCATCGAGAAATACGAGTATACTCCCCGGGGATGCGATGGCTCGCAAAGTACTTATCATTGGCTTCACAAGTGGAAATGTTCACAAGTGGGAATGTTGAACATTTCAGCAGGTAATCATCACACATTAAACTTGCATGATGCTATGTATCGTCTTGTTGGTCAGTATATCGAGATGCATGAGCCAACACTTCCAGAAACCGCCCGGATGTGCTGTGATTTTAGCTGTCCTCTGAGAGGCCAGGGGGTTTTCAAAAGCCTAAAAACATATCGCAGGAGAAGACCGCCAACTACTACCCAAGCCCCAATAAAAACCCTACCTGGAAATAGCCAATCAAAATGAAGTAATGCTAGAAAGGTCGTTTGCCACTTTTCAAAACTTTTGTGTCTGTGAGAAACTGTGAATAGTGGACAGGACAATATTTTCAAAGTGTTCACTTCTTGATGCTTGCATATGCACAGAGGTTTCTAAGGCTATAGTGCTTATATACTGTTAACATGCAAAGTGTCATGCGTGGCCATGACCAAGATGATAGCAAAGGTGAACGTCAACCTCTACTGGAAACTGCAGACAAAGAGGTTACTTTTCGAGGTGCAGCAGAGGAACATGGAGTTGACATAGAAATGCCGTTGCCAAGTTTATACTCCTCCATCCACTATCACTCTGCTCCCTCTCTACAGAATGATGTGATTATCGCAACTGATGCGCTCTATGGTAATATATTTCTGAGCCATCTGAATTCAAATATGGAGCGAACACGTTACATTTAAGTTGTATTTTGGTACGTCTGGCTCGCTCGATGATATTTATACAGTGCTCTGGACACTGGACATGGTCTTGGACTTGTAGGGTTGTATGGCTTTTCTATAGCATGCATTTACACGCATTTAAATCCGCTTATATCGACGTTCAAATCTTTGTAATCCGAACATACATACATACATACATACATACATACATACATACATAAATAT